TCAGCAAGTCACAACCACCAAAAATAAGGGGACACCAAATGTCTTGAAAACACAGCAAAATCTTCATCCCTTCTGCCTCAGTCCAAAAAGTCTTGGGAATGGGGCAGGGGATAATACATTATCCTTTTAAGCCTTCATTTCACTGCACTCTCAAATACACCAGTGCCATGGAAAAGAAAATCAAGTGAATAAATGTTGCAATTTATATATATTTGAATAGATAACAAGAACAATTTTACTGTTTGCCATAAATGAAAACCCCACCAAATCATTCCTCTAATTGAGGTTCTGAAGCTCTGTTTATGGCTGCAAAGTGATTTGATAAAAAAAATTACACATTTTGAGTTATTATATCACCCAGAAATTTGATGCCACTTAACTATGTAATTTTCAGAAATGATATAAAACCACTGCAGAAAAATATTCGGGGAAGCCCAAAAGACCTCTTTTTATCTGTTTTTATGAGTCTAAAATGAGAACTCGCAGAGATCCTTGCTCTGTATGTGAAGGCTGAACTGCCACCTCGGGAGCTTTATTAATATGTATGTAAATATGATCTGGTTAGATCCTGTGTTTCTGTGCCGTTTCACAAGGTGGAGCGGCTAACTAAGCCGAACAGATCAACGCCCTCTGTTTATTTCCTTTTTTTTTCCCTCCCAAGCAGCAACATTTAAAGATTCAAAGAGAATGAGGACAGCAGCCTCATTTATGCAAGATTGTCTCAAACTTCCTTCCTTCCTTCCTTCCTTCCTTCCTTCCTTCCTTCCTTCCTTCCTTCCTTCCTTCCTTCCTTCCTTCCTTCCTTCCTTCCTTCCTTCCTTCCTTCCTTCCTTCCTTCCTTCCTTCCTTCCTTCCTTCCTTCCTTCCTTCCTTCCTTCCTTCCTTCCTTCCTTCCTTCCTTCCTTCCTTCCTTCCTTCCTTCCTTCCTTCCTTCCTTCCTTCCTTCCTTCCTTCCTTCCTTCCTTCCTTCCTTCCTTCCTTCCTTCCTTCCTTCCTTCCTTCCTTCCTTCCTTCCTTCCTTCCTTCCTTCCTTCCTTCCTTCCCTCTTCTCTCCCCCCCGCCCCACCCCAACTTCCACACCTGTATCAAAACCAATTTACCTCTAACTTACCATAAGCTTTTACATTAAAGACTGAACAGAAACCAAAATGACATCACACAGAATCTGCAGCTACAATTTTTCTTCCACTGAAAACTTGCTTGACCAAATGGAAAGTGGAAATGCATTAGAAATATGTCCAAGTGGCGCATCAAGATTGTCCTCCATGAGGATATTGGGACTTCCTCTTTACACTGATGCTGATGTTATTTATGCATCTATATCCGTGCCAAATTTTAGCTAAAGACTTTGCATGATTAAAAAAAAAAAAAAAAAGGGAAAAGAAAGAGAAACCTAGAAACCTAGAAGATAAACCTCTGTGCTGAGAGTTCTTGACTCAGCATGCCTTGCTGTACACAGGATCAAATGGAATATTTGACATCAGATGAGCTTGTTTTTCCCTATAAGGATGGTGTTTCTCACTGAGAACTCCTCAAATCCCTTACATATTATGGAAACAGAAAATATTATTATTATCTTAATACAAGATATTTAATGCAAGAGAGTGCTTTCTCTCCCCTAATTTAAAACAAGGGACCATAGTACTTTTAAAGCTCGCAAAAACCTTGATTTTTTTCTTGCAGATTATGCTCCCATTTTGCTTGGCCTTTTTTCCTTTCTTTTAGACATATTTTTGTGGGGGGTTTGTGTGTTTTGTTGTTGTCGTGGGGAGCTGCTGCCCCAAGTTCGCAGGCCGGTGGCGGGGCCGGAGCTCGGCCTCATCCCCAGCACAGCGCGGGGAGGCTGGAGGGGCTCAGCTCCGGTGCCGGCGGCGGGCGCCCAGCACGGCCCCGCTCTCGGGACAAAGCGGGGCGATGCCGGGGCCGCCGCCGCCCGGGCAGCCCCCGGGGACCCTGGACCCTCTCAAGAGGCTGCTGCGGCGGCTGGGGAAGAGACAGAAGCGCGGGGCCAGCTGCAGATGGAGGCAGGTCGAGGGATAGGTCAAGGTTAGAAAGAGCCTGCTATTGATCTGGCTTTGAACGCGAGACAGGGAGAGCGGAGAGACTAAAGGGGGAGCTGTGAGACAAGACATTAACAGCTTTCAGTGCTAATGATCACAAGTGCCAGACAGGGGAGGAAAGAGAAGACTGAGAAATCACTTTGGAATTTTTTTTTTCCTCTATTGGGATGTATTTTCGGAGGAGGAGGAGGAGGAGGCAGGCTGGGGGTCAGCCCCCGAAGCCTTGCCCGCAGCCGGAGAAGCGGGAGGGGACTTGCGGCGGCCCCGCTGCCCTGGGCAGCTGGGGAGTCCGCCCGGTCAATCATTGCCGGCCCTTATCTCCTGCTCTCGGTGCCCACTGTTAGACACTGGTTAATCAACAGATGATGCCCAGTAACTTCCCGATAAGCCGCGCTCCCGAGGGGTGCAGCTCCCTGCAGCTCGCCGGAGAACGGCGGCGGCCGCCGGCGGCCGGACTTTGCACCCCGCAAGGGCCCCGCGGCCGCAGCCCCGCGGCGTGGCCTGGGGCCGGGCCGCGCTGAGCGCAGCAGCGCAGCCACACAAAAGCCTCTCGGCCCCGCCAGCCCGAGCAGAGCGGCATCAAAGCGGGGAGAGCCGTGAGGGCAGCTCCATCCCCGCTGATCGGCCCGGGCCCCTTCCCGCGGGGGCGGAGGTCAGCGAGGGGAGCCTCTTCTCCCCTCCAGCTCCCCCGCGATGGTGCCGCGTCCTTTACCCCGACTCGGACGCGGCTGCCCCGCAGGGCAGGAGTGGGGGCTCCCCTCGGGGCCCCGGGGTCGTAGAACTGCCCCTCCCTGCCCAGCGGCGGGGCCCCTGCCACCACCACGGTCATTTTCCCCTGCAGGACCCCGCACAACACACCAAACACACGGGGCGAGCAATCGCAGCAGTTTAAGCGCCGTTAATGGTCTTGGACGTGTTTGTCGAGCGCTAGTGGAGGCGGAGGGCCGGGATCGGGCGCGGAGGGCAGTGCCAGGCTGGCCCGGCGCCCCCCGGCCGGGGCTGGGTGCCCGCCGCCCTCGGCACTCGCCGGGCCGGGCTGCGGGGTCTGGCAGCGCCGGAACGCGAGCTCTGAGCGGGCGGGCGGGCGTGGGGAGGGAGAGGCAGATTTGCTGGAGGAGGCGAGAGCGATGCTGTTTAGCCAAATTCTCCTCAAAGCTGATTAAGGGCACCGAGATGAATTCTGGTCCCCTCAAGACTCGCATGCGATTTAATACGAAAATCACTCATTTAACGTGGAAAGTAAATGACACGAGTGCGGCGCGGGTCTCCAAGTGGGCTCCGGGTCCAGGCTGGTTCCTTGGTTTTCTGCTCCATCTGCCTCCGAGCCCCCAGGCCTCCCCTCTCCCCGTTCCTCTCGCCCTGGCCAGAGCCGGTGCTGAAAAGCTGTTTGCACCGAACTGTTTACTTATCGGGGGAGGAGGGAGAGAGAGAAACAATCCCAGGAGATGGGCCGGGAGAGCGGAGGTAGAGGGGAAAAAGTTGGTTTCCAAGAATCTTCCAAGTTAGAAACGCACGCAGTTGTGGGCATTTACCTGCGTGTGAAATAGAAGGACAAGTGCACTGGGATGAAGCTCCTGGGAGCTCGGCGTCTCTCCGTTCGTGGCTGAGACTTAATTTCTCCAAGGAAAAATAGTCTCTGCCAGAATTTTAAGGGAAGGGGGGGTTGGGGGGTGGGAGAAGGTCGGAGCGTGTGTGCGTGTGCGGATCGGGTGTGCGCGCGTGTCCCGCTACCATCGCACTTCGGGTAGGGAGAGAGGAGGGGGAAAAAAATCCCTTTCCCCAGCCCACACAGATATTTGTGTTGTTGTAAAACTGTTTGAAAGAAATGCAGGGGGAACGCGCTCGCCGCCGAGGAGCTGCGGCGGCGCCTGGAGGGAAGGAAGAGCAGCCCGCGACCCCTGGGGAGCCTCCGTTCCTGGGCACGGACGGAGGGAGCAGGACCCAGCGCCGAGCCGGGGTGGCGGAGAGCGATGAGCAGCGGCGAGGCGGCGGCACGGGCGGGCAGCGCGGCACGGGCGGGCAGCGCCGCCGCCGCCCCCCCGCGCCCCCCGCGGACCCCGGCAGCCTCCCCCGCCCGAGCCGCCCCCGCTGCGGCCGGCGCCGGGCTCGGGGAAGTTTGGCCGTGCGTGAGGATGCGGATTTATTCCTTCCCCCCTCTCTTTCCCTGGCCGCCGGCGCTCCGCGTGCTGAAAGCGGCAGCGCACAAAGCCCGGAGCGGCGGCGAGCCCTGCGTGTGCCGGAGTTGGTGTGTGTGCGGTGTGTGTGCGTGTGCGTGTGCGGTGTGTGCGGTGTGTGCGAGTGGCGTTTCTTGTTCTCTTGCAGGGTACAATGTTAAAAAGCCACCGCTAGTCGCCCCCAGTGCTCCTACTCTCTGGGTCTTTTTGTCTCTAGTGCAGATTAAACGTCACGTCCGCACTTGAACTTGAATTTTATCCCATTGTACAGAGGCAGCCCCAGCCATAGAGAGACAGAGCGCTCCCAGAGAACCAGGACTCCGCCATCTTCACATTGCAATATATAATAGTAATAGCCAGCACCAGCCCAGCTGCACTGGGGGCTTCCTTCCTTCCAGTCCCAGTGCCAGGCGAGGGGGGAAGAGTGCAAAGTCGTGCAGGAGCACTGGCAATCCAAAAGCACCAGGGCAAAGCAGTGCCACTTGAACTGGGAAAGAGGAGACACAGTTTCGGCTACCCCTTTTCAAAAATTCTCTCTATATATCTACCCAGCAAGGGTCAATCTCTGAGAAACATTTTTTTTGGCGATTTTTTTTTTTTTTTGAGTGGGGGCTATCCCAATTCTAGTACTTTTCTTCTTTTTTTACTACAGTTTTTTTTTTAATTTTAATTTTTTTCTTTTTTCTTTTTTTCTTTTTTTTTTTTTACCCTCTTGGTGGAAAAGCGCACTTGCCAATTTGCCAAGCACTCTGGAAAGAGGGAAAGAGAAAAGTGTCACTGGCGGTGCATATCCTCCTAAGTTCAAGAAGAGATCTGGAAGTCCAAGTGGCAGAAGCAGTGGAGAAAAGACAGTGTGTGAAAGAGAAAGAGAGCGAGAAAGAGCTGTTCCTGATGATGATGATGATGATGATTTTTAATTGAGAGGGAATCCCAACCAGTGCACCACAGCAGCAACAAAAAGGAGGCGGTTTTTTTTTCGTTTTTGATTTTTTTGAAAGAAGAACTCGATAAAGAAGAAGAAGAATAAAGAGGGGACAAAAAAGAGGAGGAGGATCGGCCCCCCAACACATCCCCCCAAACCAGTGCAGCTCTCCAGGCGATGCCAGTGTAAATGCCAGGGCAATGTCCCGTCGCAAGCAGGGAAACCCGCAGCACTTGTCACAAAGAGAGATTATCACACGTAAGTTTGAACTTGGAACCAGACCGAGCCGAAATCGAGAAGCAAAATTAGGGAAGGGGAGGAAGCGGTTGGGGAGGGGGGGGTGTGTGTGGGGGGGAAACTCCAGGAGCAACCAAAGCTGGTAAATGACTTCAGAGAGAGGGAGAGGAGAAGGGAATTAAAGAGGGGAGGGGGGTGTGCGGCTGGGGGGGATGGGCTGGGGGTGGAGGGGGGGAGAAGCCCGAAGTTTGCTGTGCGTTTTTGCAGCGGTGCGGAGGTGAGGCGGCCAGGCAGGCGGGAGGGCAGGCGGCGTGGAGCGGGGAAGGAGCTGCCGGCGGGCAGAGCGCGGCGTGGGGCGGCGCGGGGCTCTCCCGGGCAGCGGCTGCGTGTGCGGGGGGCGCGGAGCGGGGCGCGCTGCTCCAGGCCGGGCCGGGCCGCCCCGCCGGGGCTCCGCTCCTCGCCCCTCGCTTCGGGGGCAGCACGGGGCGGTGGGAAAAGTTGGCCGAGAGCCTCGCCTCGGCGTGACAGCCGCGGAGGGTGGGGGGAGGAGGATCAAGGTGGGCAGCAAGGGAGGGAGACGCGGAACGGCCGGGGGGACTTAGCGGGAAGCACATGGAGACGCTGGGCCGGCGGCGGCGGGGGCCGAGCCCCCCGGCACCGGAGCGCGGGGCAGGTAGACGGCCAGCTGCGCCCTGCCCGCCCCAGGTGCATCGCCGGCGGGGGAAAAGAGCTCTCCCAAGCGCGGGGCAAGGCAGAACCAGCTCGGCTGGGGCTAGAGGCGCGGGGCAGGGGCTGCCGAGGGGCCGGCTGCGGGCGGGAGTGTCTGTCGGTGGCGGGGGGCGAGAGGAAAGCCGAGGCGGGCACCGGGGATGGAGTGCACGAAATGCGGGTCGGGCAGCGGCACCGGCTCGCCTGCGGGGCAGGAGTGGAGGCTGCACTTTGCTGAAGCTCCCATTGTAAGTGAAAATACACACATATACTCCCACCCGCCGCCCCCACCCCCTCCCAAAAAAAAATTGGGAAGGAAAAAATAGAGGGGGGGGAGGGAAAGAGGCATCCCCCCTCCCCCCAGCGCCAGAATCCCCCTCCTCCCCGTTCCCACCCCTAAAGCGCCGGGAGAGGGGCGAGTGCCTGCAGGCAGAGTAGGGGGCAGGTCCCCGAGCGGGAGCCCCGCTCCGCCGCTCCGCCGCTCCCGTCCCCGGGGGCCTGTGCCGAGAGGCGGGGGGGGAAATGTGGGGGCGCCTCCCGGGGCGTGCGGCCCCCAGCGCTCCGCGCTGCTCCGACGCCTCCGGGGCACGGCGAAGGGGGGGGTCAGGGGGGGTCCCCGTTTCCCTCCTATAGCATAGGACAAGTTTGGGGGGTGGTAAAAAAATGCCCGGCACGCCGGAGCCCCGGTCGGACCCCTGCCCCCCCCGCCCCGCAGGACGAGTCCGCAAGTTGTTGTGCTGCGGGGGGCGGCGGCTCGCACGGAGCCAGCCCGGGGTTGAGCCTGAGCCGCGGCGGATCCGAATATTTATGTTGAGATTTTAAAAAATTTAAATAAATAAATAAAATATTTCCCCGGCTTCTCTCCCCTCCCCTGAAAGCCAAGAATAGGAGCCATCTGCCAGGAGCATTTGGTGCTTGCGAGCTCCTCTCTTTCTTTGTTACCGGTGATAAATTTCTGTTTGTAAGATTTCCTTGGGAATCGAGATATATATGTGTATATAATTTTTCCACATCCATTGGGATTTTCTTTTCATAGCGGAGGGCTGTTGGGGGACAGTTTGAGTTCTGAAATATAAAATTCTTTCGCTCTTTCTGTATTTTTTTCATATATATATATATATATATATATATATATATATATATACACACATACATATATATATATAATATGTATTTTTAAATGTGCGTCTTTATTTTTTAAAAAGCACCCCTCACCCCACCTCCAGCCCATCAGCTGGTGGAACCTTGATGAAGATGCATCTGGTACTCAGCTTTTTCTGGGGGGAGATTGTTTTTAATTCATTGTTATTTTGGAACCAGATTTGCATCACCATAAAAGGTGGATTCCCCCCTTCCTCAACTCCCTCCCCTTCGTTAATTGCATTTTTGATTTTAACCATCCGGTTTGGAAAACGTCTTATCCTTTTTGTTGATGACTTCTTATTTTGCCCCCCTTTCTGTTTTTTATTTTTCTTTTTAAAAGAAAAAGCATCAACAGCCACCTAAATCGCCCAGTGTAATTTCTCCCACTTGTTTTCTGTCTCACTTGCGAGGAGATGTGGGGTGTTGAAAGGGGGTGTGCGGAAAATCTGTTTTGTTGCGCACGTCTGAATTTGTTTCAATGGGTGAAACATTTCTTTTCTCGCTGCTGTTGCAGCTGGGGAGGGGGGGAAGGGGGGTGGAGAAGAGAGTCAGGTAGGTTTGTTATTCCAATTTGATCTCCTTTTCCGATCGCTTTACTTGAAGGTAAATAATGAGGCAGGAGAGTATTCAAAGGTGCCGAGGAGCTGCGTGTACAATGGGTTTAGCGGGAAGGCTGGGGGAGGAATGGAGAGCAGAGCAGTACGAGCTTCCCTCCCTCCCCTCTTGTATTTATCTATCTCTCCATCCTGAGGAAGCTGGCGGAGAAATCAGGCTGCATACTGAACAGTGGCAGAAAAAAATGAAGGTATCCAGGGGAAGGAGGTGGTGGGAGGCAGGGGGCGGGGGGGAGCTGCATCGCCGGGCTGGGGTTGGGGCTGGGGAGCAGGAGCAGGAGCGCAGGCATTGCAGCGCACAGGTCTGAGCCTCAGCTGCAGGCTTGCAGGAGAGGGGGTCGCAGTCTCTGCACTCCTTGGCAAGTGTCATTCATGGGGGAAAAGCAGCCAGGCAGCGTCCTCTCTAAAGGGGAGTTTGGAAAGTGGTGGGCAAACAGAATAGGGAACCAAAGCACTCACAACAAAATAGAGTCAAGCCCAAGCCAAGCCCCCAAAGCCAGGATGAAGTGATGCTGTTTTCAGAAATCTTGTTTTTACGTTGTGTTTAGCTTGGGCTTTTTTTGCCCTGTCTCCCTTTTTGGCATCTGTAAGGGGAGTTGCATTTCAGGATGGATTGGAGGTCTCTGCCAGGCAAGGAAAGAGATGGGGAGAGAGACAGAGAGAGGGAAGGGCTTTCTGACACTGTTCAGCTGGAGTTTATTTGGTTTCATCCACTTGATGTTTGGAGAAACGTTTAGATCCTGAGTGTAAGACAAACAAACTCAAAAAGGAGAGAAAGTGCAATGTTGCTGTGCTCCAGAGTTGCAGCATCTCATTAGCACAGTGGTCTTTAAGACTGCAAAACGGAGTGGCCTGCCTGTGTTTGCCAGGCTCACCCAGGCAGCCTTGTGAAAGAAAGAAAGAGGTGAAACACATGGAGAGGAAAAAGCAACTCTGCACCTTTCTCCACTGCTGGTGGACAGAGCAAACTTGGCAACCAAGCTCATTTAAATGGGTGGACAATGCAAAAGAGCTGATTATGCATAGGAGAGGAGGTTGAAGTGTTGAGCTGCTCTGTGCAAAGAAATGTTATTTTGGTTCAGTTCAAATTGCTGATTTTCCAGCTTAAGATCTTCCATTTTTAACTTAAGAAATCTGTTTTCAAACTAGCCCTGCATTTTGCATTTGAAGGAAATGTGAAAGGCAAGAGCATGTGAAAAGCTCGCTGGTAGCAGTTTTGCAGAAGGCGGCAAAGCTGGAACATTTCTGTAGAGCAGCAGCAAGGATTGAGAGGGAAAGGCACAGGAAAATTTTACAATTCCAGGCAGAGAACCAGGTTTCCCAAGACAGGTCTTCAGTACCTGGTCAACAGGTTTCCTAGGAAGAGCAATTATTTCCTGTATCACTTTGTTTTGTATGTAGTCATTAAAAATCATAACAAAAACCCCTATGATTTTTTGCATGTCAAAGTTTTGCAAATTGCTCCAAGGAGCTTCTCTTAAAATGCATTTAGATTTAGTGCAATTAATGCACTTTCCCTGCAGAACAAAACCCACACCAGTGTAATCAACTCTAATACAAAGAGAATGTAAGCTGTGACTGAAGAATTAGAGAGGAAATTACTATTATTTTAAGGATGGATGACTTTTTCATAATACCTGAATGGCTGTGCACAGAAAAGCACAGCCTTTTAAAAGACATCACATGTGTTTACTTTAAATAGGACAGGGGAAAATAAAGGTTGTATGCTGTCGACTTTCAGGTTACCTTTCATTTGAATATATTTGTATTGGACTTACAAAATAAGTTAAAAAAATACTGGCACATTTTCATGGTTTCTGTTCTTTAAAAATATTTTTTAAAACTGCTGCAGAGTAACTAGGTTGTGGCTGTGGGTTGTTCTGTCCTTTTTGGTTGGTGTGTCCGGTGGCTTAAATAGATATACAGTGGGTGAGAAACCATTTTGCAGTTTTTTTTTCTGGTCGGCATTTGCAGAGCATATTTTGTCAGGCTTATTTAAATACTGAGAAATAAAACTCTTCAAGATTCCACAAACTGGCTGCCTTTAATAGAAATGGTGGGAGCGCTTGTTTTGCACAAAATGTGTGTTTCTCTGCAGAACAAAGGGTTGTCTTGTGGCATATTTGGCAATAATTATGACTTAGAGAAGTGTGCGCTCGAAGAAGTAGTACAAATTTTTGATATCATTCATAGACTCCGGTTGACTTCAGCTGCTCATCCCAGGGCTGAGCTGGCTGCGAGCAAACCTCTCTGCTTCCAAATTGCCTCGCACACGATATTTAGCTCGTCTCCCACATTTCCTACCTGGACCTCTTCGCTCTTTGTGTTGTTTGTTGATGGAAATTACTTTCCAAAATAAACTTCGCCGGCTGCCGGAGCCTGCCGTGCGCCCCGGCCGCCAGTGGCGGGGGTTGGCGACTAGGGGGAGCTCCCAGCCCGTGCGATGGCCGCGCCGGCCGCGCCGCGGGACGCGCGGGATGCGCCGCCGGAGCCCGCACCGCCGCGCCCGGCGCGCACCCTGCTCCAAACGCGCTCGCCGTAAAGTTGTACTATTGA